TCCTGGTAAGTTGTCTGTTAATTTTTACGATTACGATTACGATTACGATTACGATTACGATTACGATTACGATTACGATTACGATTACGATTACGATTACGATTACGATTACGATTACGATTACGATTACGATTACGATTACGATTACGATTACGATTACGATTATGACTTCTCAGAAGTGTAATCTAAATCCCCTAAATCCCCTCCCACTCCCCTTTAAACACTCATATGCATCCGAGGAGCTTTGCGCGATTTTTTTTAATTTTGAACCAATCAGAGAGCAACTTTCAAAAACAGATCATTTGTCAACCAAAACGAACGATTACAAAGATTCTCGGATGCACGTGGACCTTTAAAGTCTGACTAGACCAGGCTTCAAATTAAGCTCGCGGTTTTTTGTGATCTTGATTGTTTTAGTTTGCAATAAGTGTAACAAGATATCGATCAAAGAATGCGCTAACGTTGGGTACAGCCATACCTTCCACTTCAATGACATCAATAAAGTACCGTACCAAAACCACACGGCAGCTGCACTGGAAAAGTTTTTAAAACTCTTAACTTGCTCAAAGTATGCCCAAACCATACTTTGCTCGTTGTACCTACCAAAATGTGACCTAAAAACGTGCTCTTCAAAGCCGGTCCTTCCTTGTCGGAGAGTGTGTTACGAATTCGTCAGAAGTTGTGATAAGTATTTGGCATTAGCGGCAATCCATGGGTTAATGATCGGGCTTTGTGACTTGCTTCCTTGGAATAACACAGCTGCTAGTCCTTGCTTCCTGCCAAAAGGATTCAAACCAACCGCACAAGGTTTGTGGAATGTTGTGTACGTGATAGCTGCATTAAACATATATAAGAAGATATTGATGCTTTGACGGACCAACTTTATTTTACAATAGTATTTTGTTATTCCTGGTCCCGCAACACCTATCGAGAAGTTTCTTTTGTCTGAGCTCCGTCTCACTTTTTCACCTTACCTTTTCATAAAACTTTCTATTTTTTCAGTATATCAAAGACAAGTGTGCTACCCAGTTGTTTCCAATGACGACCAATGCCATAAGGACTTTTCGTACAACGCTACCTTCATCAATCCTAAAGATCCAAACATTCCCAAATCCCACCTCCTACAGCCAGTCATTGCCTCGAATTGTTCAGCCAAAGCTGAAAAGTTCTTTTGCTACACAAGATTTCCGCCTTGCCGTGATGAAAGTCACTTGACCGTTCCTTTGCCGTGCCGTTCAATGTGTAAAGAAGTATTGGGAAAGTGCAAAGATGTTTTCAACAAGTATGGTCTCCCTATGGCTGACTGCAACTTTTTGCTTCCTGATCTTGAAGGAGAAGATGGTATTTGCCAAGCCGATGCTTTTCCGGTGCCGTTTCGTCATTTTAAACACAGTGAGATTCATCACATCCATTTACCAGGTAATTGAAAATAGATATAAAAGTAAAGAGACTTTTCTTTGGCTTAAAATATATAAACACGCAAAAATTGAAAAGAATGGAAATTTGGGTGATATTGGAGATTGGGAAAATCCTCTACTTCAGTTTCTCAGAATATAGGCCCATAGATGCTAAAATCTTATTTCTTTTTTCAGGGGATAAAAAGGTGAATGGTGGTCTAATTGCCGGTATGGTTGTATTACTCATCGTGGTGATTGTAGCAGTAGCGATTGGTGTAATGTACTACAGGAGAAAGAAGTTTGTAGAACCCTTCCAACCTAAGGAACTACACAATACCGAGGGAAAAAATCAAGGAAATGTCTCTACCGCTTAATCAAAGAGCCACGGACCAGTCACAATCCACAGTACGGCAAAATACTGTTGTCGTCAGTAATGCAGCTATCGCACAGAGCTTCGTTCAGAGAAACAATGTTCAAACACACCGCATATCCACCACTCTCATTGACTTTATTTAAACACGGTATAAAACATCAGTCAATATCTTAAATAAATAGAGGATATTACATGGACGCGCGGAAATACTAATTTTATCTTCGAATGTTAAATTGATATTTCACGAGTGAACACAAGAAGATGAAATTAGTATTTTCAAGCGGGCATGTAATGTTCTATTTATTATATATAGTATATACAGTAAGATTAGTGTATAAAAAGCTTGGATACTGTTTTTCAGTACAAAAGATTGAAATGAAAATGACGAACAAGCGAGTGACAAGAAGCTACGCAAAAGTATCCTGAAGTATGAGCATCGATAAAGATATAGTCAACTAAAGCATTTAATTCCACTGAACTAAAGATATTTGAAATCGCTCGCGGAGTGGACTTCTTGCTTGTTAGTCCTGTCGATGCATCTTTAAGGTTCCTCTAGAGTTTTTCGTACTCACAATGAACAAACGGTCACACAAAGCACCATTCTGTACTTTCACATAATGCGCATGTACACATATAGACCTTGGTCGTGAATTGCAGAAGCGGTAACGCCGCGAAGCTAAGAATCACTGATAAAGGTTCAAAACGAAATGTTGATTATTTTTTTTTTCATTTCAGACCAGCAGTTAATTAATTGTCTTCTAAAACTCATGAATTATTCATTAAACATTCTTCCAAAAGTATTCAACTATGGGTCACATGACAGAACCTATAACTCAAGTTACAAACACTGATTAATCAAACATGAGTTTTATAACTAACCATTTCAGTTAGTTATAACACTCATGCATAAAACATCAGTGTTGTAAATGATTTACAGACACTCGATGTATGCCCAACACTAGAAAAGTTCTCAGGTTTAGACTCTCATCATAGAACTTCACTAGGTTTCGAGTATAAACGCAGTTATTACTGAGATTCATAGTAGACTAAAACATAGTGGTGCTTGGATGAGGGAAACCGAGTTGATTACTGCTCATGCTCAGATGGAGCTATCTTCATCAATTATTCCTTTTTGATATATTTTTATTTATTTCATTCTAAACTAAAAYATTGTAGTTTCTTAGATTTTGGTTTTTAGAAGTCATTTAAAAAAACTCGTAGTTCGTGTTTTAATCATGGATATTTCGGCCTCGTGTTTATATCTCACGGATAAAACACTCCTACTCGTTGTTTAAATATCACTTATAAGACAAGTATTGTGCAAAAACCGTGTCTCTATAATAACATAGAAACACGACATTCACCTCGTGATTTACAGCCTTTGAATCGTGTTCTCCCAGCAATCCGGCGTGTTTCTGACTGAGAATAGAAAAGCTGAAAATATGAGTCAAAGTAATCATAATTTCTGCATATTGCTATACAGAGTTATATGTTATGCAGCCAAACTATGGAGGATTTTATCTAACAATGCAATGATTGCAACACTGACATGCCAAAATAAAAATAGACATGACATAAGTGTATTTGAATGTTATCGTCATTATATGATTCGCTCACATCCTCTTAAACTGTTTTAGAGACTTAGTCCATCAAGGGGAGCTTAACGAACGCGCTTTTAGGATGCAATAAAGACATGAGTTTGATCATTTTTTAAATATTGAATAAGAACACCATATAGATGAAGTCTTTTGACCCGATGTTAAGGTGTTAACCATTGGACCGCGTTGTTTCTATTGTTTCTCACACTGCGCATCGCTGACCATAGCCAATTGAATACAATTGTACAAAATTTACATAAAGACTGATCCTAACGACAAATGGAGCGAAATAACGAAGAACGTGCAAATATTGTTAGTTTGTATTCATTCGTAGAGGAAATCGTTGCGATTTGAAGGTGAACCTATTGTTTGAGTATTAAGGTGGGCTAATTGCTGAACCACCACCATTTCTTCAGCCTAAAAAAGAGCCGACATTCGCGGGAATATGTAAGTAATTTCATAATGAAATGTTTAATTTGTTTGTGGAAACAATCGACTGACAGGAAAAGATTGTTATTTAACTGTCTTTTATATCCACTTCATCTTTATTTGCTCAACAGGTTTTCAACTTTATTTGCTTTTTGGTTTATCGCGGGGATGGGGATGATCAAAGAAAGCTCCTCGATCTGTAATTCCTTCAACCAAGACACAGGACTTACTAAGAAGTGTGGATACTCAGCAACAGTCAATTTTACTCATCCTTCGCAGTATCAAGAAGCCATTAAAAGCTTGGAGACTTTTTCGATGCTTTTTGATAAATGCTCATCGTATGCAAGTCTTATTGGCTGTTCTCTAAATGTTCCAAGATGCGAAGAAAACATATCAGGACCTTTTCTGCCATGCCGAAGAGTCTGTGATGAATTCCAAAAGCAATGTAGTGACACAATACTCAAGTTCGGAATGGAGTGGATTATTGGGATGTGCCAACTCCTACCTGAAAAAGATGATCCCAACACAAAACTAGGATACCTTGGAAGGTGCTTTGAACCGCCAAACTTCAAGACAACAATTACAAAAAGTATGTTTTATCATTTCACGCGCGTTTATTGTGGCTAGGCATTACTCGGAGCACTGTCTTGTCAAATAAGTTGTTGCCGTTTGACAAAACGTTTTGTAGAATAATCTAGTTTTCTGTCGTTGTACAAACTACTATTTAGATCATTCTAAATTACATCCTTATGGTTCTAAGTCTGGTATAGACAACCATTGTTGAGCTCTCGGTTATATATTCCCGAATCATTTTCGGTATATCACAGAACGTAACAGCGTAACAGTCGTACTCGTATTCTCGATTTATCCGGGCAAATAAGTTATATACTGTATATATGTGAGATATTTGTTCAACAGATTTAACAGGATGAACTAAATGCTTTATTTCATATTATCTCACTTAAGGATGTAATTACAATGTAAACTAATTCATGTAAAAAGAAGGAAACCATTGAATGTATGGCATGAGGGTGTTAATTCTTTTTTCATGTCATCATCACTTTGTATGAAAGAGGCATAAAGGGGTTTTCTCATACCAAAAAATTATAAAAAATGAGTGACCTTCCATACTTTAAAACTATTAAATGCTACAAAATAGTACCTTACATYATATATTATTGGCCTGCAAGTGTAGAGTCCAACTAATGTGCGAGCCTGCGAGCCTGCGAGCCTGAGACTTTATGTTCGAGCCACGAGCTTTTTTGCGAGCCTCTTTCGAAATAGCAAATTAACACACATTTTTGATTTAGACTTAGACATTTTCGTAATCGATACGCACGGTCCAAGTACTTGTGCAGAGTGAATGGAGATCGACTGAGTAGGAATGTGATTGTGTTTTGCTGCAAAGTAATATATTTTTGTTTCGAAAGCAAGTCTAGTGCTGAGATCTGAACTTTAGCCGTGATAATTCTATTTTTCAATTCAATGCAGGCTCGCAAAATAGCAACGTCTGCAAGTGCATGATGGTATAGGTTGGGTTTTATTTACAAGTGTGGCTAGTACTTTAAGGTATTGACGAAAAGCTTTTTTCTTCTGGATTCGGACAGAAAATATGTGTGAATTTGTAGGCGTATGCACTATATCTCAAACATAGTCACGGAAGTGTTTTTTCTTAATTTTTTTAATACTAACTCTTCTGATAAACTTCACCCTTCAGGTTTACCACTAAAATGCAACAGCCTGATAGTTCCAGTTTGTCAGAACATTGGCTACACTAAAACAGTTATGTCAGAAAAGTCGCAAAAGGCTTTCTCTACTTGGGCCAGCGAAAAACTAAAAGTACAAAGTRGAGACCCTTCTTGTGACCTTGCTGGAAAGAAGCTCTTCTGCATGCAAAATTTCATGCATTGTGTAGATAACAAAGCTGCTTCTTACTGTCGKTCTAAGTGTGAAAGGTATTTTGAGATGAACTGCACATCGCCGTACAAACCCAACGAATATGCAATGTGCTTGGAAAGTCCCACAGGAAGAAATGAAATGGCGCTTGGAAGTGATGTTTGTTTTTATGATAACTGGCCTAGAGCAATGAACTGGCCTCAAGTCAGAAACAAACAGTCAATAGGTATGAAAGATGTTGTTGTTCAGTGTTGTTGTTGTTGTTGTTGTTGACTGAGTTGCTTTTGTTTTTGTGGCTATTTCCGCTGACTAGTTCCATTTGTTTAGGTCTTATACTGTATCTGTTGGTGTTGCAATTTTAGGCAATACTTTTCATTTTCGTTTGCTCAGTATTTCGATGTTTTGTTTGAATTTGCTCGGTTTTGCTGAGGTTTTTTTAAATTTCTATTGTTGCTGTGTTGAATTGCTTTGATCTTAATAACTTTGTTTTTCCTTTTTTTCCTTTTTTTGTTTTTGTTGTTTTTTCTTCTTCTGTATTCGCTGTTGTTGTTAGTGGTGGTGATGATGTCGTTGATTTTTCCTATCCTAACATCCAAATCTTTACAGTTACTTCAAGTACAACACCCAGWCCTGAAGGGGCGGGTATTCAAGATAGARTAACATCATCATCGCCTCCTGGTAAGTCAGTAGTCTCCTGCTGAAGGTTATAATACAACTCAAAAACCAAATTCTCAACCAGCTACCTTTTTAGCTATTTTCAGCAGCAGACCGACTTCAAAGGAAATAAAGGATCAAAAAACAGGTTAGTGGCTCGAGACACTTGGACCTAAATATGAATAGTCTCCTTCACGGTTACCTGCGCCATGTTAAAAGGTAGCCGTGCCTTTACTTCGAAGCGAGATGACCGCTAAGTGTGCAATGATAGATACCTGTGAATAGTTGTCTGTAGGTGTGAAAGAAGGTTTCTATCATTAAACGTCTTGCTTCGATGCAAAGGCACGGCTACCTTTCAACATGGCGCAGGTAACCGTGAAGGAGACTATTGTCCATCGGTGGCATCGATGGTATAAAGGTAGCTCGTCTGGAGCTCAAAGAGTCAGAACCGAAACCTAGTCACGCGCGCCCTGATTGGCTGGCAGTGRCTGATGGTCGTGTTTACAAACAAACCTTGGCGGCCTTAATTTATCAACTGAAGAATTTTAAAACGACCCGCTTCTGTCTGTAGGTCTTCTGAAACACAGTAGGAGATGAAATGTACTAAAGAAAAGGGAAGCACTCGCTGTGGCTCGTGTTTCTTCTAGTTTCTCTGGTGCCGTCTCCCGAGACGAACAGAGACACAAGACTAAGAGTGCKTTATTATTTTCGAAACTCTCCTGAAAAGGATTCTAGTAACAAAAATACGAATGACGTTATTACGTAAAAAACTAAGTAGCCAGGCTAATTCTGTTTATCATATTTCAGATTCGCCTCCTAAGGTGGAGGGTGCCTCGAARCCCAAGATGGCTGCCRTAGTGGGTGGAACAATGGCTGTGCTRATAATTATTATAATAGTATTAGTTGTAGTAATTTTCTTATATAGGAGAAAGCGAAAACCGACAAGAACTTCAGAGGAAGATAGAGATCGCGGAGACAGAACCACGAACAAATTGTTAGATGAACAAAAAGTATAACGAAAGAAAGAAAGCCATTAAGGGCTGAGATCTAAAACGCCAAGCGTCAACCGTCAAACGGCCTAAATTGTAACCTGCGTTGAAAACGTCAGATGAATGAATGAATGAAAAAATGAATGAAAGTGTAATTGCCGATCAATCGTCGAAATATTCAATCGTCGAGGACGGAAAGAGACACATGATGAAAACGTGTTGCGGGAAGATTTAATTTTAAAGAATGTTTCGTCCAAACTAGCTTAAATCAGTAAATAATTCAGTGAGGTCAGATCATCATGTTTACAATCAAGGCCGCAGCCATTTCTCACCCGTTGATRACTAATTTTTCATTAATTGTCTCGTGTTGAGAATAGAAAATAAGTATCCTAAGTACAGAAAAGTGGTGTTAACCACCAAGTGTTGAAAACACGCGACGAATTTTATTACCATGAACCGCGAAAGATTATATAGAAAGATATCCCCAAAAAATACATTCTCGTTGAGCTGGCTCATCTTTGCGTCTACTCTTGTTAACTTCTTTTTTTGAAACAAAAAGTGAAAACACAAAAGTTTATACTGAATTAATAGCTTAAATTTTACTAAAAGTCTTTTTAATATTTGTAGAATCTAAAAAAGGCGGCATCTCCATTAGTGGTGTTGGACGCCGCATGTGAATATAGATTAAAGATAAAATTATATAATGCTTTTAAGTTTTGAATATTTGTGCAATAATTCTTATACTAGACCTACTAGGGATAGTCCGGAAAAAGAGGTTTTCGCCACCGCCCAGTTATGCTGATTTTCAGTAAAGCTGTCAAAAATATGTCAAAAATATCTGGATACGAGGTGGACGGGGTATTTGGTGCCGAAGAAAATTCCTACTTAAGTCGACTAAAATGAGTGAATACGCCATTTGATTTAGACCCGTCAAGTCGAGCATAAATCCCAATCCCCTTTCTGTTATATGGTCTTCCTGTGTTGACAATCCTGACCAAGATTCCTTAAGCTCCCTACCTCTATACGGTAGCTTTTTTGCCTTAACACAGGATTCCCGTTGAGTGCTGTGTCATATGCCCTTCTATTAGTACTAAATTACAGACTAAGAAGTTAGGAGATTGATAGAGCCTTCATACATGCTGTTGCAACAATGCTGTAAGCTGAAAGCKGTAAGCTGTAAGCTTTGAGGAATGCTACGCTCAACAAGAAATTGGGAGGTTTCTTAAAACTGTTCAATTTTCGAGCAACTGCGTTTGATTTCGCAGCTTTAGTTTAAGTTTTTAGTCCAGCACACTATTTGCTACTACAAACAATTCGTTAGTAATGCTCAAATAGTTTCAGTGCATCGCTTACCAAAGGCGAATCTCAAAAACTAAATGAGATGAATATAAAAATGCGAGACATAAGAGCTGGTTAAAATAACTGACATTCAGCAGGCAGAGAGAGATTGGAGAGATTTTTATTGGCTTCGTATAAAAAGCGGGCCTAAGTTCCATTTTATCTGGTGTGTTTAGACTGCGCGATACTGAAAACTTGGAGCTGTTCAAATGCTTTTTAGTCATCTAAAGATATGGAGCTCGCAAAAATGTAGGTGGCCATATTTTATCTTAGGAAAGCCTGCTTCACAGCTCTTGTTCAATGAAGGAGCTAGACTGTATTCAGACACGTGGTTTTGATGGAAAAATTACTGCTTACTCCACGTGTTGATATAAAGTGACCGTAAATTCACTGAGCGCACGACTGGCTCTGCACTGCATAATTTTTCAATTTAGTTGCTTGCAGGAAGACTTTTTTTTACTTTTAAAAAATGTAGAATTCCATGGAATTCAATGGATCCACCGAGTACGGTCTGCTTGATACTTTTGACAAKCAAATTTTTTTATTTCCATCCATTTAAGACTAAAATTCCACTACGTCATTTATATACAGTGACTTGGCTAAAAAATTACTTTTATACTTTACTACAAACCTTGCGAAATTCTTAGTAGCGGCCCTACATGCCACCTAGGCGTAACAGGAATGATGATGACAAACCTTGCTACACAGTTTTGAATATTGGTGGTTGACAGTGAAGATGAGTGTAACGCGGTCAATGCTTGAATAAGTCCAGCCTTTATGCCTTTTCGTATAGTGGCTGTATATTGAAGTAGCGTGCATTGTTCTAAAATTAGACTTTACAGAGAAAATGAAGTATGTTTGGCTTATATTAGGCCTATATGATGAATTACACCTATATGATGCAATGTTATAGATTAAATTATGTTGCCCCGTGTTTTTATTTGAATGAACCACCCACATGCTTAAATCATCGCCAATATCATGATAAATCCTTTATCTTCTTATAACTGAAGTGCCGTTTGATCTTGAGCGAGCTTTGAGTGTTGCTGATACGAACACACCTTCATATTTAGCTGATTCTTAAGTTGTCCGATTGAAAAAAAATCTGAAATACCATCATTTAATTCACTATAACATCAATTTGGAAAAAGTAAGATTCAGATTTTCAATAATAACTTTCTAAATTAATAATGATAACGGGGATTTTGGTACAAAAGATAAAATGAATGCAAACACAGTCTTATTATGTTCACAAAACGTTTTTTTGTTTATCTGTGTTTTTTAGTTATGAAAAGCGTTTCTCAATCAATAACAGAGGCCTAACCTATGGTTGTCACGCCTTGGTAGACATAACTTAACTCCAGCTCCCCATGTAATAATAACCCGACTCCGTATGTCTGATAATCAGTATAAGTAGGACTCGAAAGTCTAGCTAACATTTGGCTTAACTCTTACAATCAACCTTCATTTTAATAACCAATGTCGTCTCTTTCAATTAGTCGTGATAATTAAGCCAAATATTTGCCTATTATCAAACAGATTGATTATATATGGTGGTTTCTTGATATATTCAGTCCGAGGTGACAATTTGATTGTATAGAAAACAAAAAAGCGTTTTTCATTTGCGCTTCGCTAGGCATAGCCAATGAAATTTGCCGAAGATAAATTTGCATAATCTATGGAAATTGACGAGMGGCAAATYAGAAGAAAGAACACCACGTCTTTGAAAAAATATTTGCTGTGGAAAACAACTGGTGTTTGTTGAAACGAAATTGTGAAATCCGGAAAGTTGTTTTACTCTGAACATTGGCCGAGAAACCAGAAAGAGGTGAAAAATGTAAGTCAACTTTAAGTGTTTTTAAGTTTGAATCACGAGTTCTTGTACAAAGCCGCTGTACTTTTTTCATTTCTATTTGTTCCGGATTGGTAAATAACAGAGAATCCTTCATCTTTTATTTGTATATCTTATGAGTAAACATCGTTCTAAGTTTGTTTATTTCTTTACTGAGAAAAGTTTGTTTGTATATACAGGTACTATAAAAAATCCTTTGCAGTTTGTCTTCTTGTTATGGTTGTGTGCATAGTCAAGGATTGTTCTTCGTTTTGTAAACCATTCAACAAGTCTACAGGCATTGCTGAGTTGTGTGGATACCCTTCAACGTCTAACTTTACTCATGACAAACACTACATTAGTGCCTTAAACGGTCTAAGGTCAGTCTCCAAAATTCTTTCCTCGTGTTCTGAGTATGCGAACGTGATCGCCTGTTCGGTTTATACTCCTCGATGCGAAGAAAATATACCAGGACCTTTTCTGCCATGCCGAAGAGTCTGTGATGAAGTCAATAGGCAATGTAGGGACAGAATACCAMAGTTCACATTGGAGTGGATTATTGGGATGTGCCAACTCCTACCTGAAAAAGATGATCCCAACACMAAACTAGGATACCTTGGAAGGTGCTTTGAACCGCCAAACTTCAAGACCAACCTCACTAGAAGTAAGTTGAACTGCCGGAGCGCGCGTGAATACTAGTTGAGAATGATCAAAGCGATTGCTCTTTTTCAAAATCTGAATCTTGAAAACCCTATTTTTGATGCTGTTGGATGAAGAGAAAGAGATTAATAACTTAATATTGCGTCAGAACGGAAAAGAAACACTTATTCAGTTCCCACAATATAGAAAAGAAATATCAGTAAAGCACGATTTATTGGCTGTTTGGCTCAATATTCAGAAAAATATTACTAGGAATCGAGGACATTGATATATCTATAATTGAAAATGCTGAAAAAAATAAATCGATTCGTGTTACTCACGTATCATGGGACAACGCCGGCACACTTCTGCTGAGTCAGCTGTTATTTGCGTCAATAACCAGTTGTAGCCCAAAAATAGATTGYTAACTAGACGCTTGTAAAGCGTGATGCGGGCTAGCTTAGCAAAAGATTCACAATACAAGATAAAAATTGTATCTCCAATGAATATTGTGACTATGACGTAACTATATATGAAAGTAAAATATGCCGATGAAYACCTTAGTTTTCTTTGCAGTTCAATTCTTATCGTTAACCTTCACTGTCTGCTATAATCTTATCATAAGCTATATCAACTATCAACCATAATCTTTGTGCTATAGTGATTGTCCTACATTTGCAATGTATTTTGTAAAAATATTTATGGAAGCTCTTTACTTCTTGGTTAGCGATATCACATCTATTATCATTTACATAACAATGCATTTTAGATGGCATGAGTGCATTCTTTAAATTTTGTTTTTATTAGCCTTTCTTTCGTACAAAAGAAATCTAAAAATTGAAGCAAAACAAAGCTCAATTTCAAAACTTGTACTTTGTCATTT